TGTGTGATAACGGGGGGTAATAGGGGACATAAAGATAATGATTAGCCTGCTATGTAAATGGCAATTAAAGGACACAGAGAGCTGCGGGCGCTGTCCTTGGTCCTGATCGGAACAAACCCGGCTGGCCTCGACTCGCAACAATCAGCTGCTGCGCTTCTAATCAATTAACCATAACAGAAATAATGATCAGAGCATCAGTCCAGCTGATTAGAACCATGAAGCCTACACCTGGTAACACGACCACAGGTTTGATTCCATCCCTTCAGAATAAAAGTCCGCTGACCCGGCTGCAAACCAGAGTGGTTGGCTGTACTTTCACGGGTTAAATGAAGAGGAGGAAGAACAGCGGAGAGGTCCTTTACATGATGATTGATCTGTTTCTCTGCTCAGGTTGGCCGGAGGATGCACAGAAACACAGCGCCATCTAGTGAGGGCTCCGCCACAAAGCCACAGAAACCACAGCAACTGGATCGTGCAACCCGAGCCTGAGCCCGACCTGTTACCAGTTCAGAACCATAACTGGTAAAAAGAGCTCAACCAGTAAAGAAAACTAGTTGGACTCCGGGCCTTCAGGTCACCTGACTCTGGGCCATCAGGTCACCTGACTCGAGGCCTTCAGGTCACCTGGTTCAGGGCCATCAGGTCACCTGACTCAAGGCCTTCAGGTCACCTGACTCAAGGCCTTCAGGTCACCTGACTCTGGGCCATCAGCTCACCTGACTCAAGGCCTTCAGGTCACCTGACTCAAGGCCTTCAGGTCACCTGACTCAAGGCCTTCAGGTCACCTGGCACAGGGCCATCAGGTCACCTGGCTCTGGGCCATCAGGTCACCTGGCTCTGGGCCATCAGGTCACCTGACTCGAGGCCTTCAGGGTCACCTGGCACAGGGCCTTCAGCTCACCAGGCTCAGAGCTTTTGGGTCACCTGACTCTGGACCATCAGGTCACCTGACTTGAGGCCTTTAGGGTCACCTGACTCGAGGCCTTCAGGTCACCTGACTCAAGGCCTTTAGGGTCACCAGACTCGAGGCCTTTATGGTCACCTGATTCAAGGCCGTCAGGTGTCAGCAGGCTCAAGGCCTTTGGGTCACCTGACTTGAGGCCTTTAGGGTCACCTGACTCAAGGCCTTCAGGTCACCTGACTCAAGGCCTTCAGGTCACCTGACTCGAGGCCTTCAGGTCACCTGACTCGAGGCCTTCAGGTGTCAACAGGCTCAGGGCCTTCGGGTCACCTGACTTGAGGCCTTTAGGGTCACCTGACTCGAGGCCTTCAGGTGTCAACAGGCTCAAGGCCTTCAGGTCACCTGGCTCAAGGCCTTTAGGGTCACCTGACTCGAGGCCTTCAGGTGTCAACAGGCTCAGGGCCTTCGGGTCACCTGACTTGAGGCCTTTAGGGTCACCTGACTCGAGGCCTTCAGGTGTCAACAGGCTCAAGGCCTTTAGGGTCACCTGACTCGAGGCTTTTGGAGTGATGAGGCTTCAGTTTGACAAAGTAACTCCCAGTTCTGCAACCTGATGGTGCCGAGTCGTCGGAGGGCCGGAGATTTTAGACCTTCTCCTTTTATACTGAATCTTCCCGTTTCCCGGAATGAGTTCCTGATCTTTAACTCAGAAAAGGAGGAATCTGCAAACCGCTGAACGTCTTTGATCCTCCGGGACTGGAACTTAACTGGATCCTGATGTCAGACGTCACATCACCAAAATCAGCAGTTTGAGACTAAATATGACTTTTTCTTTATTTGTCTTGTTAAAATGTGTTTGGGGCAACTTTCCTGCTGAAGAAGGGCTGAAGCATCCCGACAGAC